CGTAATGACTAATTACGCTTTCTCCTCATACTTACCTTATCTTTTGTGCAATTAAACCATGACGGGTCATTAAGACCTGCCACAAGTACTCGCACCATTCACAGGAATAATTTAAGCTTACATATTAATAAGAGCAAAAGTAAACTCACAGTGAATATAAATATTGAGGGATACACGATGAGTCAACATCGTGTATCCCTCTTTAACTTTAGACTTTAACTCGGGAGAGTTAAATAGACTTTAACTCGGGAGAGTTAAAGGCACCACAACACTTTACTCACCACCCACCATTGAAGGCAAAGGAAGGGAACTATCAGGCACCAAGCCATTATGACTATATAGCAGTGGGAAGGGTTCAGGATAAGGATTTGGGATGGGACGGGGGGGTAAGGAATGGTGCCCAATCGAACTCCGACCTGCATGAAGCGAGACCGTCGCTCTACCGTCCAGCCCGAGTGGTACCCAGCACTGAAAGTTTAAAGTCCGTTATTGACCGAAGAGTCCTGGATGGTCTTTGTGTGTTGGTCACTACCTAACATTTGTTTGTTTTTCGGCTAAGATCTGACACTTGTTTTTACCTAATTTCAGGCCGCTGGTTTAACACAAATATTTTTTTTTTGTTTTTTTGAGATATATACAAGAGTTGTTACATTCTTGTAGAGCCACTAGTACGCGTAGCGTTTCGGGCAAGTCCCTGGAATACGATCCCCGCCGCGAAGAATCGTTTTTTCATCCAAGTACACATTTTACTGTTGCGTTAAACAGAGGCTACAGTTAAGGATTTGCGCCCAGTAAATCCTCCCCGGCCAGGATACGAACCCATGACATAGCGCTCGCGGAACGCCAGACGAGTGTCTTACCACTACACCACGGAGACTGTCAATTACGATTAGTTACAGGTTTTGTCAATTACGTCACGTTCTGCATTTTGCATCTATTCTGCAGTATAATAAATGTATGAATATGCACACACGAAAGTTACGTGGTGACAAGTTATGTGATAACAAGTTATGTGGTGACCATCTGGAATTATAATCTCTCCCTCCCTCCCTCCTGTTTCAGATTAAGACTGCCGGTAGAAGAAAATGTTTGGACAGTTCAAATGAATTTTGTCATACATGTGGACCACTGACTCTACCCCCAGTCAGAGGACTGGGGGTAGAGTGAAGGTGTCCACCGAAGTAGTTGTGGACATCTTTGTAATCAGGTACTCTTCATATGGCGAATAACCAAAAGGGGGCCTGCTGCAGCGCCACGACATCAATGTGACATGTGACATCAGGGACTCCTGGTTCAACCTTGAAGCCGAGCGGACGTCTGGACACCTCCTCCGCCTAGGAGCCGCCTGTTCACGTCCTGTTTTCGCGTTTTGGCTTTGCTACTGCCGTTTGGCGTCCCTATTCAACGGTCCGTTTGTACGACGCCTGACGCACATATCGCCTTGGGTCACGGGATTGTTGATAGAGTTTTTTTTTATTGACGTGTTCTGGCTGGTTCTCCCGGCGGTGTGACGGTGTTCGGGGGCCGGCTTGGCCGAGGAGCGGTGCCGGGGGTTGGTGGGTCTTGGTGGGCTCCTGGTGTGCCCTCAGTCGTGGTGGGCGGCCGGCTTCTGCTCTGCCGGAGGACACTGGATGCCTTTTGCGTTTTGGTTGCGGCCCGAATTTTGGTTTTGCTACCTGGTGTTCTCTGTGAGGGGCGGGGCCGGTGCTTGTCACCCTGAGGGACTCCTGGGACTCCCCAATCATCTGCCCGTCTGTGAGTTTATTTGCCGTATGGCATATTAGTTTCTGGTGATTGGCGTCACTCGTTTCGCGATTTGGCTTGGCGTTTCACCTTTCCGGGCTTCGCGATTTACCCTTAACGGGTACGCCGGGACGCATCCGATCCCACGATCGTCGGCGCCCCTAAATCAACAACAACAACAACATGTGACATCAAAGTGACAATGCCACCATCAATGTGACATCAATGTAACAATGCCACCATCAATGTGACATTTGCGTTCAACGCCCCCAAATTATTCAGAAACCAGGTATGTCCGCAAAAATGTGAGTGGATTAGTGTAATGAGTATTACATCTGAAGCCTACATGTGAAGGCTACAGGTGAAATGAAGCGTATGTCAGGATTATTGTATGGCTGTATTTTTCATCTCAAAAAGCTCCCTGGTGTATGAAGCTGATTGAACAAACCCTGAGCCGGGGGCTGGTGAGGAGGGTGGTCACGGCCCCAGTACCTTATGAACTTTAGAAAACATACAAGAAATATACATGAATATAAAAGATAAATGTGTGGGCGAAGGTATGCTTCAATAACAAGCTCCCACGTCCCACTCCTTTATAGTTGAGTCTCCGATAAAATGATAAGCCGTTTCACTTACCCCGTTTTCTGTGCCGTCGCAAGGCCAAACAATATTATGGTTATTTTTCAGAAAGGGAGGTACACTTACCTATTAATAATTACCTATCAATGTCTACAGACGGAGAGAGGTTAAGCTCTGTATGCCCCGCCTACGAGCCTTGTACCTGTTGCGTTTCAACTTTACTTTGACTTTCAAATAGCTTGTCGAATCGAGTCTTAAAGTTGTGAAAAGAAATGGTTTCTACAACTTCCTCTTTTAGACCATTCCACTTGCTAACTACCCGTACAGGGTACAAGTACTTTATTACGGCCCTTCGGCTCATTTGTGTTTCCAGTTTCCACCTGCGTCCTCTTGTCTGGCTTTCTCTCAGTCTAAAGTGGCTATCCTTGTCCACTTTATCTATTTCCCTCAGTATCTTGTAAGTTGTGATCATATCCTTCCTCTATTCCTTCCATCCTCTAGTGTTGTGAGATTTGATGCTATTAATCAATGTTCGTTGCTTCGCCCAAACCTTTGCACCTTTTCAATTTGACTTTATGTTTCACAAGGAACCGATTCCATACCGGTGATGCGTTTTTCAAGATTGGTTGACTCAAGTGTTGTGTAGATGGATTTGAAGGTGAACTGATTCAGGTTCCTAAACGATGTTCTTAATTGCCAGCGTCTTTTATACTGCCGATGTTATCCTGTTTATGTGTTCCTCCGGCGTGAGTGTCGCAATTATATCCACTCCCAGATCCTTCTCTCTTTCTGACTCCTGTAGCTGCCTTCCCCGTATGGTGTTGACGGCTTCTGGTCTCCTCTCTCCCTTTCCCATCTTCATTACCTTACAATAGTTGGAATTGAATTTTAGCATTTATTTGTTTGACCATTCCTGGAGTCTGTCAAGGTCCTCCCGTAGCTTCCTGCAGTCCTCTTCTGTTTTCACGTTCCTCATCAGCTTTGCATCATGTGCAAACATTGACATGTATGAGCTCACTCCCTCGGGCAGGTTGTTCACAATAATTATCAACAGCAGTGGTCCCAGGACACAGCCTTGTGGGACCCCACCTGTTACATTCCTCCCAGACTGTGACTGCTGTCTGACCTTCTGGTACACCCTAGCACAGGTCAGTGTTTACCCAGTAACTCCAGCCTGCTTCTCCATTTTGTACAACAGTCTTTCCTGAGGATGTGTCACATGGTTTTCCACGCTGGTTCTAAAGTTGGGTTTGGAAGATAGAGCGATGGTCTCGCTTCATGCAGTTCGGCGTTCAATCTCCGACCCTCCATGAGGTTAGACACCATTCCATTCCCCCGTCCCATCCCAAATCTTTATCCTGATCCCTTCCAAGTGCTATATTGTCGTAATGACTTGGCGCTTTCCCCCAGATAATTCCCTCCCCTCTAGTGTAAAGACCTGAAATCTTTCATCGAGTTTCTCGCATACTTTCTTATCATTCTCTGTGAGCGCTCCTTCTTGTTTCCTCAACCAGAGAAGATTGTCTGGCACTGGTGTTTGTCTCCTTATATGGCTATAGCTCCTTATATGGCTATAGCTCCTTATATGGCTATAGCTCCTTATATGGCTATAGCTCCTTATATGGCTATAGCTCCTTATATGGCTATAGCTCCTTATATGGCTTGGGTTGCTCTCTAGCTTTTGCAGAAAATGTCATTTTATAATTGCCTCTCGGCTTCTCTCTTAATTCGGGCGTATTTATTCCTTGTTCTCTTAAGTGCCTCTCTGTTGTACTCTGTTCCCAGTTCTCTTCTTCCAGGATTTTTTTTTGTCTTTTCTTTAGCTTTCCTGCATTGTCTATTGAACCCTGGGTTTACTTTAGTTGTTTCCACCTCCTTCTTGAGTGGTGTAAACTGTGCCGCGGCCTCGGCACACTTCTCAGAAATGAATTCCATCCTCTCATTTGCTGTCTTCCCTTCCATGTCTCTTTTCCACCGGATTCCCCGCAGAAAGTGCTTTACCCCTACCCATTAGTAGTAATAATGGTGGTGGTGGTGGGAGGAAGAGTGGTGGTGGTGGTGGTGGGAGGCAGGATGGTGGTGGTGGTGGTGGTGGTGGTGGTGGTGGAGGTGGTGGTGGTGGTGGTAGTAGTAGTAATAATAGACAAATAGAACCCTCAGGCTCCTGAGTGCTTCTTTGTCCAGGCTCCTGAGCGCTTCTTTGTCTAGGTTGGTGAGGGAAATGTTTGCCAGCTAGCATACGCCGTTAATGTTTACCTCAAGTACCATCATCTATTCTGGTATTGCCAGAGTAGGCCCCCCTTCCCGGCCTGTAGGCCCCCCTTCCCGGCCTGTAGGCCCCCCTTCCCGGCCTGTAGGCCCCCCTTCCCGGCCTGTAGGCCCCCCTTCCCGGCCTGTAGGCCCCCCTTCCCGGCCTGTAGGCCCCCCTTCCCGGCCTGTAGGCCCCCCTTCCCGGCCTGTAGGCCCCCCTTCCTGTAGGCCCCCCTTCCCGGCCTGTAGGCCCCCCTTCCCGGCCTGTAGGCCCCCCTTCCCGGCCTGTAGGCCCCCCTTCCCGGCCTGTAGGCCCCCCTTCCCGGCCTGCTCATGCCAACCACTAATGTCTCGTTTCATGTGTCGACCTGACAGTTTCTGCTTCTCTGTTGCAGAGTGGTGGAGCAACGAGTGCTTGGGAGACCCCCATGGGAGACTGCTGGAGACACCACAGTGGTGGTACCGCTGAAGACAGCGGCAGGAAGATTGCTGGAAGAACCTGCGAAGACTCTGCTGGAACTGATGGAAGTGGTCCTGCCGTGGACAGTGGGATAGGTTCTGACGGGGAGAGTAGTATGGATTCTTCTGGAGATGGTGAGTGGAACCCAACACAAGACGATGAAGAAAGTCTTACTGAAGACTATGAAAGAAACACAAATGGAGAAAGAAGTGGGAGACTTGATGTAGGTGGAGGTGGAAGAGTTCCTGCAGACGGTGGAGGGCTTGACGCAGCTGGTGCGTGTGTAGGTCTTACTGGAGGCTGTGGGCGTGAAGACTCTGACGGAGACGGTGAAAGTGGACGCCCTCGTGAAAACTGTGGAACACCAGCTGGAGACAGTGCTGGTGGAACACCTAGTGGAACCAGTGTAGGTGGAACACCTAGTGGAACCAGTGTAGGTGGAACACCTAGTGGAACCAGTGGAGGTGGAACACCTAGTGGAACCAGTGGAGGTGGAACACCTAGTGGAACCAGTGTAGGTGGAACACCTAGTGGAACCAGTGGAGGTGGAACACCTAGTGGAACCAGTGTAGGTGGAACACCTAGTGGAACCAGTGTAGGTGGAACACCTAGTGGAACCAGTGGAGGTGGAACACCTAGTGGAACCAGTGGAGGTGGAGGCCCTGTAGGACACGGCGGGGGACAAAGCCCTACAAGGAAGGGAATAGTGGAACCAGGACACCCCAGTGTAGCGTGGAACCAGTCACGCCTGTAGGCGGCGGGGGACAAAGCCCTACAAGGAAGGGAATGTCAGGACACCCGGTAGCGTCCAGTCACGCCGCCGGTGGCAAGGAAACCAAGAAACCGAAAGCAAGAGATGGCTGTCGGAGGAGCAGCTCCGGTGGGCGAGGTGCTCCTGGCGGAGGCCGTGGTGGTGGAGGCGCTGGCGGACACGGACGAACAGGCGCGGCCAACGAGACGTGTCCGGTGATCCGTCTTCTTGTGCTGGGGGGACACGGCGTCGGAAAGTCAGGCGAGTTTTATGGCACTTTTGTTGTTAATTAAAATTAAAATAGGATAATATATTCGATTACGTCATTTATAATAACGTTATGTGTGTGTGTGTGTGTGTGTGTGTGTGTGTGTGTGTGTGTGTGTGTGTGTGTGTACTCACCTAATTGTGTAATTGTGTGTGTGTGTCCCGTGTGTGTGTGTGTGTGTGTGTACTCACCTAATTGTGCTTGCTGTGGGGGTTGAGCTTTGGCTCTTTGGTCCCGCCTCTCAACTGTCAATCAACTGGTGTACAGATTCCTGAGCCTACTGGGCTCTATCACATGATATGAGCCCTACTGGGCTCATATCATGTGTGTGTGTGTGTGTGCGCGCATGTATGTATGCCCTAGACCACATGGGCCCCACACACACACAGTTGGCCAACCAATGCGGGACAACCTTGTCAAGTATGACACATGTCGTAAGGCGTGTGGGTTATGTCACTCTACCAGACTGTGTGGTGGTGATGGTGGTGGTGGTGGTGGTAGCTGTGGTACTGGTGGTCAGTGACAGTGGCTACTAGTCAGTACACGTGGTGCCAGCGGTAGTGGTGGTAGCATATAGTAAACTGGTAGGTAGTGGCGGCGGCGGCAGATACGAGAACATTGTCCTGGTAATAACGGACGAGAGGAGCTCTTCCAGAAATAAGGACAAGGAATTGTTGATACCAGCAGGCGAGCGCTCCTAATGTTTCTCAGAAGGAGGAGGCGGCGGGAGTCTCGCCTGAAGGGGGTCGAAGAGGGCCTCTTGTGGGGGTTCTCCTGGAGGAAGGAATAGTGGTGTGAATGGTATGTGTCGCGAAGGGAAGGAGGGGGGGCGGTTAGTGGGAAGGGGAGTGAAAGGGGCAATTAAGAGTTTCTGGGAGAGATGCCTCCCCCCCCCCCCATTCCATGGTCGAGTGTAATTAGAGAAGATGTTAACTTTTCAGCGGTGGTTGCTGAGAGGAGAGTGGGCGTGGAGAGTGTGTGTGTGTGTGGGCGTGGAGAGTGTGTGTGTGTGTGGGCGTGGAGAGTGTGTGTGTGTGTGTGTGGGCGTGGAGAGTGTGTGTGTGTGTGGGCGTGGAGAGTGTGTGTGTGTGTGGGCGTGGAGAGTGTGTGTGTGTGTGGGCGTGGAGAGTGTGTGTGTGTGTGGGCGTGGAGAGTGTGTGTGTGTGTGGGCGTGGAGAGTGTGTGTGTGTGTGGGCGTGGAGAGTGTGTGTGTGTGTGTGTGTGCGTGGAGAGTGTGTGTGTGTGTGGGCGTGGAGAGTGTGTGTGTGTGGGCGTGGTGAGTGTGTGTGTGTGGGCGTGGACAGTGTGTGTGTGTGTGTGTGTGTGTGTGTGTGTGTGTGTGTGGGCGTGGAGAGTGTGTGTGTGTGTGGGCGTGGAGAGTGTGTGTGTGTGTGTACTCACCTAGTTGTACTCACCTAGTTGTGTTTGCGGGGGTTGAGCTCTGGCTCTTTGGTCCCGCCTCTCAACCGTCAATCAACAGGTGTACAGATTCCTGAGCCTATCGGGCTCTATCATATCTACACTTGAAACTGTGTATGGAGTCAGCCTCCACCACATCACTTCCTAATGCATTCCATTTGTCAACCACTCTGACACTAAAAAAGTTCTTTCTAATATCTCTGTGGCTCATTTGGGCACTCAGTTTCCACCTGTGTCCCCTTGTGCGTGTTCCCCCTTGTGTTAAATAGACTGTCTTTATCTACCCTATCAATTCCCTTCAGAATCTTGAATGTGGTGATCATGTCCCCCCTAACTCTTCTGTCTTCCAGCGAAGTGAGGTTTAATTCCCGTAGTCTCCCCTCGTAGCTCATACCTCTCAGCTCGGGTACTAGTCTGGTGGCAAACCTTTGAACCTTTTCCAGTTTAGTCTTATCCTTGACTAGATATGGACTCCATGCTGGGGCTGCATACTCCAGGATTGGCCTGATATATATGGTATACAAAGTTCTGAATGATTCTTTACACAAGTTTCTGAATGCCGTTCGTATGTTGGCCAGCCTGGCATATGCCGCTGATGTTATCCGCTTGATATGTGCTGCAGGAGACAGGTCTGGCGTGTGTGGACAATGTGTTTGTGTGCGTGTGTGTGTGTGTGTGTGTGTGTGTGTGTGTGTGTGTGTGTGTGTGTGTGTGTGTGTGTGTGTGTGTGTGTGTGTGTGTGTGTGTGTGTGTGTGTGTGTCTGTACTCACCTAGTTGTACTCACCTAGTTGTGTCTGCAGGATCGAGCATTGACTCTTGGATCCCGCCTTTCGAGCATCGGTTGTTTACAGCAATTTCCATCGTTCCTCAGGTTGTGCTGTGTTATGTGTTCACGTTATCGTCTGTTCTCTCTCTTCCTCAGGTTGCGCTGTGTTATGTGTTCACGTTATTGTCTCTGCCTTCATGCACTCCTTTTGCTGCTGTTCCTTGTTCCCTTCTTTGTTATCTCATGTTATGGCTCTTCCTTGTCTGCCATCTTGTGTTCCTGTGACACTTATTGTTGCTTCTTTCACTCTCCTTAAGTGTCTGCGTTTTAATCCTTATTCATTTTTTATTGATTCTTTCATTTCCATTTTACTTCTTCCTTCATTTTTTCTCTCTTTGAGTGCCTCTTTCTTTACTGCTTTTCTCACTCATTCCCTCACTCTTTCCATAGATTTAGTGTTAGGCAAACTCTTTATATTCTTAATCCAGCCCTTCCTTCCTTCCTTCCTTCCTTCCTTCCTTCCTTCCTTCCTTCCTTCCTTCCTTCCTTCCTTCCTTCCTTCCTTCCTTCCTTCCTTCCTTCCTTCTTCCTTCCTTCCTTCCTTCCTTCCTTCCTTCCTTCCTTCCTTCCTTCCTTCCTTCCTTTCTTTCTTTTCTTCCTTCCTTCCTTCCTTCCTTCCTTCCTTCCTTCCTTCCTTTCCTTCCTTCTTTCTTTCTTTCTTTCTTCCTTCCTTCCTTCCTTCCTTCCTTCCTTCCTTCCTTCCTTCCTTCCTTCCTTTCTTTCGTCCTTCCTTCCTTCCTTCCTTCCTTTCTTCCTTCCTTCCTCCCTTCCTTCCTTCCTTCATTTCCTTCCTTCCTTCCTTCCTTCCTTCCTTCCTTTCCTTCCTTCCTTCCTTCCTTCCTTTCTTCCTCTCTTCCTTTCCTTCCTTCCTTCCTTCCTTCCTTCCTTCCTTCCTTCCTTTTCCTTCCTTCTTCTTTTTTCTTTCTTTCTTTCTTCCTTCCTTCCCTTCCTTCCTTCCTTCCTTCCTTCCTTCCTTCCTTCCTTCCTTCCTTCCTTCCTTCCTTCCTTCCTTCCTTTCTTCCTTCCTCCCTTCCATCCTTCAGCACGCCCAGTATAACTCTGGTGTCTCTCTCTCCCCTCAGCCGTCGCCGTGCGCTACCTCACTCGCCGCTACATAGGCGAGTACAAGTCCCAAGTCGGTGAGTACTGCTTCACTCAGTCTTATTCACGACCTAGACTACTTGACCCAGGTGGGGAGCCTTGGTGGTTAGTGACCCAGGTGGGGAGCCTTGGGGTTAGTGACCCAGGTGGGGAGCCTGGGGTTAGTGGCCCAGATGGGGGGGGGGTGAGAGGGAGGAGAGTCCCAGCTTAGTGATCCAAGTCAAAAGACTTAACTAGGAGTCCCTAACTTAACAAGGAGGCTCTGCCAGGAGCCTTAATGCTGTGCCTCTAACAAGAAAGATAATGACAGGATGTATGAGGTCTTGAGCCAGAAATGTGTGACCTGGTAATCCTTAGACATACACCATATATAATATTTATCTATACAAGGACGCCAGACTGGAGATATGAACTACACATTCATGTGTTCATATCTCCATATGAACTACATGAATTGAAATACTACTGTATGGTGTACATATACATGTCCACAATACAAGTATACATGTCCTGTAATGTGGACATGTATACCTCATAACCAAAATTAATTGGGAAAAGACCTGTGGAGCATCTATATACAACGGTGTGTGTCGGAGCTTCTACACGTTGACACAGCAGGGGAAGCCGCCCCCGACGATTGAACTATTGGACGGTTTTCTAAGAGAAGTTCCGGACCAACCGGGCTGTGGTGGGTATGTGGGCCTGCGGGCCGCTCCAAGCAACAGCCTGGTGGACCAAACTCTCACAAGTCAAGCCTGGCCTCGGGCCGGGCTTGGGGAGTAGAAGAACTCCCAGAACCCCATCAACCAGGTATCAACCAGATCCTGCTGCAGGTCTGAGGTGATGGCCACCATCACGGAGGAATGAGAAGGATGGGCCGCCTCTCAGTTTATATGCGGATGAAAAATTAAGATGAATGAGAACTGAGGAGAGAGGCTTCTACAATGCTCCGGGTGGACCTGGACGGCCAGGAGATGGTTTCTTGACTTTAATACAGTCAATGTAAAGGTGCTGACGTTTGTGACAGAGCCGAGGTGACGGCCAGGGTATACGATGAGCGGGTCAAAGTCTTCAGTGAATCAAGGAAAATGATGTAAATGTAGACATAATGCCAAGATTATCAAGCTTGTTCAGAGAGGAACAAGGGTGTAGCCATCAGCCTCCAGGCCAAGGAAGATGTCTGTCCCTCGTATACTACCTGTGTTAGACTAGCATTATAATATTACTCTCTGGAGTCATCACCAAACACCTGGCTTAGTGCAGATATAAGACATATTCACCGTAAAAGTCAGAAACCTTGCCACATTTAGGTCAATAAGTTGCTATTCACCGCTTAAACTCTTCAAGATCAGACAATCAGATAAAATACAGATTCAGACAAACCCCTC